CCTGGGCACACTGCCGGCTCATGTTCAGCCGGCTGTCGACCAGCACCCCCAGGTCCTTTTCCGACAGGCAGCTTTCCAGCCACTCTTCCCCAAGCCTGTAGCGCTGCATGGGGTTGTTGTGGCCGAAGTGCAGGACCCGGCACTTGGCCTTGTTGAACCTCATACAGTTGGCCTGGGCCCATCGATCCAGCCTGTCCAGGTCCCTCTGCAGAGCCTTCCTACCCTCGAGCAGATCAACACTCCCGCCCAACTTGGTGTCGTCTGCAAACTTACTGAGGGTGCACTCGATCCCCTCATCCAGATCATTGATAAAGATATTAAACAAGACCGGCCCCAAAACTGAGCCCTGGGGAACACCACTCATGACCGGCCGCCAACTGGATTGAACTCCATTCACCACAACTCTTTGGGCCCGGCTGTCCAGCCAGTTTTTTACCCAGCGCAGAGTACACCTGTCTAAGCCATGAGCCGCCAGCTTCTCTAGGAGAAGGCTGTGGGAGACAGTGTCAAAACCACCTACTCCATTTCTGATCTCTACTTTCTGTGCATGGTAGGTTAGAATATGATGACTATTTTCCAGACATCTTTGCCCTGACATAGGTAGTTATCTGAATATCTGTATTTCTCTATCTGTCCACAAAAGAGAAGCTGGAACTAATAGGAGCCAGTAGATCCCTCAGTTTTGAGAAATGCGAAAGCTAAAATCCAGTCTGCTTTATGGAAACATGTTGGATCCAAAAGGGAAGGTTGCAACATGATCTTTACATGTGCCTGAGGGAATTGAAAGCACAGTTGCCCTCAGTAAAACTTGTTTCCTCTCCCAGTGATGTTTTACCAGGAAAACTGTCATTTTCTTCCAAAATTTTCTTCACAGACAACTATTTTCCAAATTTGCTACATTTTTATTCTTCAGTGAATCAGAATCAAATGTACAAAGGAAGAAGAGACAATTATCTGAAAAGTATCAAGTAAATCTAATCTGCTTTTAGATAGGATTCAATTTTTAAAATGTATGTGCACTTGTATCAAATTATTTTAGGACATCTTTTTATTAGAAGAAGAATTAAAATGGGAAACTTTCCAAACAGAAGACAAAAGACCAAGTTTAAGGGATGAACAATAGAGCAGACCAGAGAAAAAGACTGTTTTCAGGAAGCTAACCTGAAGATATGGCCAATCTTTTCTGTTTTCCTTCTCCCTCCCTCAAACCACCAATGAAATTTATCAAGCAAGTGAAATATAGTCTTAATTTAAATACTACTTTAAAATAAATATAAAATCTATCAGAGATATCAGAGCTAAGAGATCTGTTTTGTTTTCTAAGCAAAAAAAGAAAGTGGTTTTATGCTTCTGGCTTTTAAAAATCTCTTCATGAGGTGAGACTGCAATTGCAGTTAAAAATTGGACACTTTCAATTCTTATGTTGAGACTTCATCATTCTTCAGTAATGATGTTTCCTACTGGATTTTGGGTTTCCTGCTTCTTTTGGGATTTTGTCTAACTGCACACCAAAGCTATGGCAGCATCCCAACATGAATCAGTGAAATCAAACTTGAGTATCCCGCACTAAGAACACGACTCCAGGGGTCTCTCACATCACAGACCAAAAGCATTATTATATCCGTCTGTCAATCACTTACCAACTGGGTGAAAACCTCTTTGTCTAAGGAATTGTTTGTCTATCTTGGGCATTTATGTGCACATTCCTCCTGGAATTTAGTATAGTTTCATAAAATGCTTTTTCAGTAACTTCTAGATAACATCCATGATGGTAGTCTAACTGAATCTGTAACTCCACATGAAGTTCATGAAGCTCCTATTATTTACTACCAATACAAAGAAATATGATTACAAGTCAAACATCATTAAAAGAGACTGAAACATTTATCCTGATTTTTATATTCAAGTAAAACATTCAATTTCAATTACAACAGGTAAATTTTATCATTTTATTTTATTAAATAAAGAGGCATAAGAATAACAGTTCAAAAAAGATAAGGAAAAAAGGCTGACTTTGAATTTATATTCAATATTTATGCACAAAACATAAGAGATTTCAGCAACTGAGAAAGAAATACAGCACATTACAACCTAGAGAAACAGCACAAATTAACAGTTTGCTGAATAGTGCCATGTTAACTTTTACAATATCCCACAAAGATACAATGAAGTTCTATTCAACTAGAATTAATTTTATATATCTTAAAAAATAAACAGGGGAATTTATAAACCGTTGCTTTAAAAATGAATAAGCAATGAATCTAAAGTTTTCTTCTAATAAGAAACAACTGAAATATTTAAATGATTTTTAACTTCAAGAGTTAATTTAATGCAGTTTCAGATTACTGATTTTTTAAAAATAAAGCAGCACCACATTGAATCCACTGGTCTTGGTTTCCTCCACAAGGTACATCAATATTTGTCACCACACGGTCTCTCTCCATGCTAGTGTAGACTGGTAAAGATATGCATTCCTCTGGAGAATATGGACCATATGCATCCTGTCAACAAACAAGCACTTAGTTATCACTTAAGCAGACAAAAAAACATGAGAAAGGAATAATCTCCAATGATATGGTATCTAAAGCTGGATCCTAAGATACAGTTTAGACACTGCAGCCTTGGACAGGCAACTCTTGGTCAAGGCTACAAAGGAGAAGGATTACTAACAAAGCAGAGACTTCAGAAAATTTGCCAGACTACTCCATAACTAAGCCTCTACTTTTTCTCTCCAGTTTGTTAAACTGAAAACACAAGAAAGTATGTAATAGGGGTGATCCCATGAACTACATAGCAACATCTTCATTTGTTAAAAACCCCAAAAATTACTTGTCAAAAGCTTCTGCAAGGGAAGCATTGAACAGTTCCCAGAGGGGAGAAGGCCCCTTGGGAGCGCCAGCGCTGTACCGCAGGGAGCTGCTAACCCAGGCAGGCTGGAGTCCTGGAGCAGCCAGTGCTCTGGGCAAGCCCTGCTGCCTCACCTCCTCCACCCCCTGCAGCATAACCCTGCTGCTCCTCCTGTAATGCAGCCCCAGTTGTGATCCGCATCTGAAACACTTGCAAGTGGGCTACTTCAGGAACTGCACCCAAAAAAATCTTACCCCACGCTTTCCAGGCTACTTTTTGGATTTAAACAATGATTTCTAACATCAGTGAATCTAAATAGAAAAATTGTTCTCTGATACAGAGAGAGCTACTATACCTTACATTAGAGCCTCACAGGGCTCCCGCTTAATGCAGGACATTAAGAGGAACCCAGAAGTATTAACCACAATTTAGTTAGACCAGGACTTAAAACAAACAAACAAAAAGCCTAAATTCCCTTCAAGACATGCAAGCATATGTAAAAAGTTACATTATTAGTAAAAAAAAAAGCAGGTTTGATGACTTTTTGATTTTTTTTTTTTTTTAAATGTCTTTCATACTAATACTGATCACAGTCGCAGCTGGGGTTCTTTGGCACTTCTGGAAAACAGGCTATTTCCGTTAAGTGCCTAAATAGGGTATTATCAAGTTAACTTTAAGCACTCAGATTTGAATGGAGTGCTTTGAACTTCCGGCTGAATTAATTTATAATTTGTATTCTCCTATACATGTACTTTCCTACTGCACAGCATTAGCAGTACTACTATTACAAAGATTACAATTATATTGTAAACACTACTTAGGGAAGGACCTTGGTTGGAGCCATGGCTTTACCTCTCAGTCTGTATCCTGATGAGCAAGCAATGCTCTACTCTGAGAACAGTAACAGCTCCTCTCTGCTTTCTGTACAACAAACCGTGTGCGCCTCGGACGTACTTTCCTCCTAGGGCTTTGCACAGGGCATTGTCCCTATGCATGACTATAGACTCAGTCTAGACTTCCTACAGCATGTAATTTGGGTTTCAACCCATGATGTATTTATTTAGTGTAAATAATTCAGGGTTTGATTCAACTGATATATATTAAGCATGTTTTCCGTCACACTCAAAATCTCCCTTCCTGTCAACTGGAAAATATCAGAAGATTTTCAAGAATCAAACAACAAAGCAGCACACTTGTCAGAAAGGAATTTGAAACAAAAATGAGGGCCTTTTTAATGCAAATCACACCAAATGTGAGTTAGTGAAGCTCCAATATTAGAAAATAACTAAAAACAGGAAAAAGGAAACATGCAAACAATAACTGTTTCTAGGACTTTGCCTTGCATGTCAAGTGTAAGCCATTTCTGAAGAATTTTGTTGTTCCTTTTGAAAATCAACTTCGCATGTCTTTTGAACATCAGTGTTTAAATCCCTACAGAAGGTGTGTGCACTGTAAGAGTTGTATGGAATAACTTAATAATCAGAAGTCTGTCAAAAGAACTCAGCTGTTCTCAGAAGGCTTATACTTACCACATTTATCCCTTGGTTAACACTACTGAAGAAGACAAAATGCTGGCCAGTCTGAGAGTAAAATGTTAATCAGAGAATTTTAGTTTTGCCAAAGCTGGGAGGCCAAAAATTGGCCAGTTTGCCTTCAAAGACCTCTTTTTACACCTTTTTGGATCAAAACAGCTGTTCTCGTGCCTTTCTCAATCCCACTGATATTTTAAGGAATCACATTATTTGAGGGTTAAAACCATTCTGTGAAAGTCTTTCTGAACCACAAATCTTATGTCCTTGGCTTACGCACAGTCCAAAAACTCTCTTTGTCTAGACTGCCTCACACACAGTTCCATCCCCCTTAGTGACACCCTTCACAGCTTGGGAGCTATCAGTGAATTAAAACTGGAAAGGACCTTCACAGTTTAATGAGAATAAGCATCACGTTAGTAGCTCAAAATACTCCATTTTGAGCATTGCAGCATTTAGAGGGGGTTCTCTCAGAGAAATCCTGTAGGCTTCTTTTTTTTTTTTTTCCAGAGAGTTCACTTTATTTTAGTTTGATTGAAAATGACCTCAAAGCATTGACTTATAAATATATAGATTTTTGCTCACTAGATTTCATAAGAGGCATTTATGGGGAAAAGAAAACAAATTCAAAACCTAAGGATCCTAAGATAATATGTTCTACTTCACGCACTATTCTCCTAGTGAGAGCATAATGAGATAAGGGGAAGTACATAATGTCCCAATTCTGCCTTGGTTTCTGAGCACAGTGTTTGATTGTGGTCAATTTTTACAGTGAAGCCCATAGCAAAACAACTTAAGGGCAGAGCAATTCAGAAATGCTCTCCTTAGAAATACTTTATATTTAAAATCTGGGCAGTTGACAAGTTTTGGCCTGTGTTTTAAAAGAATTATATTTTTTTCCAGCACAAAGACTTCAGTTGCTATTTATTTCAAATATGAAGTTCACTGGAAGAAGTTTAATTCACTGATTATTGAACTATCTCACTTCTATGTTTTATAGATAAAGCTCTCTGCTGATGTCACATGTAACTTCTGGGTCTTATCTTTGAGGTTTAAAGAATATAGACTGCTATTCAGAAAAACACTTAAGAATCTGTGTTCGAAGTCTAAATCTTGACCATTATACTCCTAATGCTGTACTATAATATAATGCTATACTTCCAGTGCTGGAAATAACAATGAGAAAAAAAAAAAAAAAGTTGGGATAGAGTAGTGTGTTAGCAATGGAGCTCCTTGCATAATATCTATCACAATATACCACAAATCTCACCATTGCCATAATTTATGATAATTAATAAACTCAATTCTAACTGAAATTTCAACTACTTGGGTCCAGTGAACTTTTTTCTTTAACATTCTTCTAACCAAACCTGGCCTTCTCTAGGAAGGTTCTTCTCTAGGAAGAGAGAACTCTGCAGAGTTCTCTAGGTTGCAAGTAACAAACTCCTCCAGTTAATAAATTCATTTGCTTGATGAGTTAATGTCTACAGAACAGGATAAAAGTTGACATTATTCTTCATTTTTTATATCCTGCTAATTTTATTTATTGTGATAAAGAAGTGGGAAAAGCTGCATCCACCCCTATTTCTCACTTTCTACATTTACACTTGATTTTTGGTGTAAAAGTCTTAATATATTTTCTTTTAGATCTGCATGTGGGATTCTTCTCACCTGTCTTTCACCTGTGGGATTCTTCTCACTGTCCCCGAGTTAGCGGTCTAGGCTGTCTCTAGAGTCACAACTAGACAGAGATTTATCCCAGTTACCTTATGATGGGACGGACTTCCTGAGATGCCTATCTTTTACTGAGACCAAAGTAGGAGCTAACGCAACTGAGTCATACCGGGCAATTAACTTTTAGACAGCTAAATTTAGATGAGATTAATTCTACAATAAGCTTTCTTTTAGTTATAAGACTGTAAGTATATAAGACTGTAAGTATATGAATTTGTTATTCCTACACATCCTTGAATAAGTTCTGTGTAACTTTTTGCTTTATTTATCAGAGATTGCTATTATAATTGGAGAGCAGAAGCAGTAACAATTTTTACTGTTTGGACTACCTCACTTTCATCTTACATAGTTCTGCAAGCATTGGCATTTTTTTAAATTAGTGTAAGCAGGGGAAAGGCTTTCTTTGCTTACAAATCACATCATGTTCTCTATCTTTTTATTGCTATTGCATTTTAATTTAATGTTTAAAACGCGAAGAAAATATATTCTAGGAAAGAACTCCCAAACCCATGTATACATTTACTAAATACACTTTTGAAAACATGTTAATGTTTTTTAAAAGACAAGGAAACAAAGGTATGACTGAAATAAAGCATTGTCTTAATCTAAGCAAAAGAAGCTAAAAAATATTGACAAAATGATAAGTTCTTGTTTTATAGAAAAGAAGTAACTGCTTTTCCTATTAAAGAAAGGGATTTTTATTTTGAAATGATGGGGAAAACAGGTCAGTAACATGATACTGAAAAGCTACTACACAGAAAAAAGCAAATTATGGGTCTTGAAAGTTTAGGGATTTTAATAATTTAGTACCTGTGGAATCCAGGCCATGTAACAAGGGAGAACAGATGACACACTGGGAGAATCATGAAGATTTTCTGAAAGTCGACTTCCATCAAAACTGCAGCCTTCCAGTTGTAAGCCACTGATCTGCCATGGAAATATAAAATATTCAAACATATGTAACAGACTTGAAATGTCAGTAATGATTACTGTGCTTTAATAAATGATGATCCTTTTTACTGTGACCAACTTTTTCAATAACAGGAAACTAATTATTGTAATGTTCTGTGTGAAAATAGGAAACATGATTTAAAAGCAAGATCTGGACCACACTCCGTCGTGAACTTCCTCTGATTTGGATTCACATTCTTTGAAATTTTAGAGAAAAATACCTGTAAATGTCATCATTTATGAAACTGCAGTTGCCTGGCATTAGATTAATGGAAATACGATAGCAACAGCCAAGTACACAATCATTACAATGTCAAGAAGAAGAGAAGAACAATCACTGAAATAAGCATGACTTCCTGCTTGGAAGTCTAAGCACAGCTTTCAAAGAATGGAAAGCACAATTACACAGCTTCTGCAGAGGCAAACAAAATATATTGAAATAATATGAGAGAAAATTTTATTTAATATAACTCAAGATTTCTTAGATAAAATACTGTTTGGAAAAAATAAATAAGAATCCCATATGCTCCCATAAGTAACTATGCAATGCTTTATATGTAACATTTTAAGTGCTTTCTTTTAATTAGTAAATTAAATTTCAGCCTCTGAACTAAACATTCTTGTTTTTTCTTCACTGAAGTCCTGCAAAAATTAATGACAATGATATCTATTCTGGATATCTTCCAAATAAAATGTTCAATATCTGTTGATCATTTTATTTTCCCAGTACAAATAATAATAGTTTGCCAGTATAAATAATAATAATAGTTTGGCCTGCTGAAGTGAGAACTTCAATTTTAGCAATAATAAAACTTAACTCAGTAATAACTTTCATGCAGCTTTTTAAAAGGATAAATCTTAAGCTGGAGCAGATGTCTAACAGAAGCTACAATCTGAAAATCATGTCTGTTATATTATCATACTAAAGGCCTGAATTAAATACATAATACTGAGGCAGGCTTTCACCAAACACAAGGTTCATAACGCGGTGCTGGAACTAGGAAATACAATGCTGTTGGAAACTGGATGAGTGACCACATAGCCAAAATGGAGAAAAGTATCATTTTCTAATACATTTTCTCTTGCAAGAAATTTTAAAAAGTGTACTAAATTTTAAAAAGTGGTTAAGTATGATGTTACAATGAAGATCAGTATCATAGAAGATGTAACGGAAATAATTTGCTTAGGTAATTACAGTATTCTAAAAATATTTATTTGACAAGAAAAGTTGCAATTAATAGTAACACAATGGGGGTTACTGTCATGCTTGAAAAGCAATGCTTTGCTCCCAAGTGTTGGGGTTTTTTTGTTAATACTCTACTAACTCTATGCTAGCTAAGATTACGTTTTGCATTTTTAATAACTAATTATTCTTTTGATTATATACAGGCATTGCAGTCTTCAAAAATTTGCTTCTTTAAAGTCATATTTCTGTTCTAACTCTGAGCTAAAGACTCTTTCTTACAATGTGCAAGATGCATATATACATATTCTATCATGAAAAAAAGGTTATAAAAGATCGCATTTTAAAAAGCTATAGAAAAAAGCTGTGTTTCACCTTGGACAGACAGTGACCGGAGAAGTGGCAACATTCTTTGAAGCAATCTGTGCTCCATACAGACTAGGACTCACAGTAAAGCCTCCAAAACTGTGGATAACCTGAACCAAAACAACCCCAAATGGAAAGCTCAGAGCAGTATGACTTTTTCTCTAACTTTAATTTCCACAAATTATTATAACAAGGCCTCAGTGAAATGAATTACATTTTTCAGACTTTGTATTTGGAACTGCAAAAACTTTTTTTCTCCTTCAACCTCTTGTCAAAAGCTTAAGGTCTTTTCTTCATTATGAAAGTGTGACACTCCTCTCCCTTCTCCTGCCAAGTTCATTGTGATCTTTCCTTTGAATCTTCCCTAAGATTTTCAGGTCTGTTGCTTTTAAGGTATGGTGTTAACATTTGATATTTTGTATTGTTTCTTCTCAAACTCAAAATCTCTCCACGCAGAGAGATTTTGGAAAAAGCTGCCTTTATCTAGTAAAAAAGAAGTTTGGGTGTCAATAGTCTTTAATGATAGCCTATATACATTCCAGTGCCACTTCTTCTGCCTTGCAAGAACAAAGAATATGAAGAAAAATATCATAGAAGGCACAAAAGGAACAAAGTCTTACTAATGATTATACTGAGGCTTTCCCACAGACTCCTTCCTACTGCTCTCTGTTGTTAACATTGATACTTAAGGCCTCACTTTATTATACGCACAGGTCCTAGATTACACTTTATCTCACTACACTTCTGATTGAATGCTTTCAAAGCTCTTATTTATCCCTATCACACAAATATTAGAAAGATTCATCTCATATGTTCTTCTTTCTGCCCTTCCTGCATTCTGCAGGGAATTTTGTTATGGAGGTTAGTCTGATACAAATGTGAGTTTGGCAAAGTTATTGAGGGAAGACTGGTCTGATGAAAAGGTTTTAAAATTTATTGTTAGGGTGTTCAAAGGTCTGGCCATCCTGAACATCTCTAAAAGAAGTTTCTATAGAAGTGGGTCACCTATTGAAAAATCTCTTTCTGCTGCTCACACATTTCTTCTTTTGATATTGGCAGTTCCTTTTACATTATAGTTATGTAAAATAACATCATTTGATCTCCTGGAAAACTTCAACCAATCATAGAAACTCCTTTGAAGATGAAGACCAAAATTTTGATTTTGTTTCAATATTAAAAGACACTGAATAAAATAAAACACCAGAACAATGTCCTTTCAGATACTGTTTGGCTGAGTACTCCCATAGCTGTGTTCTCATTTTTATGATAAACAGTGTAAAGAAATTACAACTACTATGAAGGACATGGATTTCACAGTATCTATAATTAGCATGCATAGTATTTTTGCAACTCAGCTCAGAGTAATGGCTGGAATTGACCACAATTTTGAAAATTTTAATTCTTGCAAAGTACTTGGCATTTTGCAACTATTGGTACTAGTTTAGTTTCAAAAAAGCTATTGTTACACATTGCAGATTGTTTCTTTAAAGTACATTTGTAGAAAGTGTGCTGATACCATGGTCCAAAGCACCTCTGTTTCCAAAATTTCAAATTCTCTGCAATTAATTTTTCCTTACTATCTAATGCCATAATTTCCCACGAAATGATACAAACTACATCAGACTTCAGGACGTCATATTTTCACTTCATTACCTCTACAGGCCTCCATCATTAATTTCTTGATATTTCAGGATGGAGGTATACTGTAAAAAAAGACCTCTCAGGATGCTTTATAATAGTATTTCTGTCAATCGCTAAAAGCATAGTTTTGATATTAATGCTGATATTATGTATTTGAATATTATAGTCTTGCAATAAATTTTTGTTTTTCACTATTTACATTAAGCTCTACCCAAGCTCATAGTACTTACTACCCAAAAAGTCTCTTACCATGTTTCTTCCTTTCTTTCGCTCTTTTCTACAATAACAGAAAATGGAATGCCAAAAGGAATGACTGACTACCTGCTTTGGTACAACAGCACAATCAGTGCACAAAGCAAACAGAAGAGATGTATTTGCATATCAATATGTGATTATATTGCAATAGCCATACATTTTCAGTACCTTTTGTTATAGCAATCTGAAGTGATATTAAAGAAAGTGTAATTTTATACAGATTGATTCTAAATCAAATATTCATCACATCCTACTAGGAGAGACCTACCCCACAACATACGTGCAAATGTGCAGGAAGACTGAAAAAGCATTTTCATCATACAGATCATAATGAGATTTCCACCGTCTTTTCCTTATCAGAACAAACCATCAAAAACTTCTAAAATTAAAGGCAAGAAAAAGAATCTCAAAGAACAGGTCTTCAAAACAGTCACTAATTGACAGTGTGACTAAGACAGTTATACAAAGTATGTGTGAATTTTAGCTTTAAATTCAATGTTCATCCGCATTCTTAATTGTTCCAATCCTTCAACAAAGATATTCTATTAGAATAATTAAATATCCATTGATTCAGGGACTTGAGCACGACTCTCCCACATCCCAAAACAGAATCCCCCAGCCATGTGAGTACAGGATCAAGTCTCTCGGTGGAAACAGTCACACAAAGTGAAATAGTACCATTAGCATAAATTGAGACTGATAAACCTCAGAATAGCCTATACCATGATCTGGTTCTTGTCGGGGATGTGAGAGATCCAATTTTAAACCTGCAGTCTGAATCATGTGAAGAAGGAACATGCAGTATCAACAAATCAAATCTTCTGACAAAAATAAATCCTATTTACCAATTCTACCAATTATTTAATCACAAACTTTCTGATAGTTTGAAGATCTATCTTATGTAAGAAGAGAGTGGCTTAGCAAAGAGAAATGAATGCAGGTTCATGCCACTTCGATAATATAATCTGAAGACCTGAAAGTTGCCAAAGGGGAGGAAAACAGCAGGATTGGGTATATCTGAGTTTATCTTATAGACAAAGAGCTGTATGATCAGGCAGGTTCTAAACTGAAACACAATAAATTATAATGGAAAGAAAATTTCCAAAGGGAACAAAAAAAGGTATTTGTGTAGACACAAAAGTATGTCTATGCATATATACTATTAACTACATTCATAGATGCATATACAATAGGATGCCAAGAAACATTATACATTTATTTCAGTTATCTTCTGCACACAACTGAAATGGAAACAGATCTCCTTTTGCTTATGAACTGAGTTTTTAAATGGGAAAAAATTCTCAGTAGCCTTATCTGCAGACAGAAGGATATCCAATGAGGAAGTAACAGTTAAGTATAAGGCTGAGATACACAATGTCAAACTTGCAGTGGTCCAGTTCACCGAGGATCGTATGTATTTAACTGTATCATGTGCAGCCTAAGCCAGCAAAAGTAGACATGTTATTTTTTTGCTAACACTTTCCACCTTGTTTTCACAACATCCTGTTGTGATTACACTTTGTTTTCTTCTATTTCACTCCTATGTAAGATTTTCCATTTGTGTATTACACTTTCTATGAAAGAGATCTTCTTATCCGCACTGGTGCTTTTATACAATGATGATATCATCTTTAATCATGTAGATAACTGGTGTTCTTCATAACAGCATTGTATAAACTTAACATATTTTTTGCATAACATCTGGAAAATCTTTAAATAATTCTTTCCTGAACTTTATGTCTCCATGATACCTGTTTATTTAAACTTCAAAAATGTGACAGGTTTTAAAAAAAAACAAAACCTTTTACCTTCAGGCAATTGACCAAAACTACTATTGCAGGACCATAGCAATTGTAGATTTTCTCCTGTCAGTGGAGAAAGACAGGTATCTCCTGAAAGTTAACTCATTTAAGATCTGAACTGGTGCATGTCTTTCTTCATTGACAAAATGAGGCTGGTAAACTCCAATTTCCAATTTAGGTATCTAAAGTCAGGTGGGATAAAACAGGGTCCCACCTACCTCACCACAACATGTGTTTAAGGACTTACCTATTCTGCTGATTGAATTTTTTTTTGAGTCCCCACTCAAAATAGCTCCCCATTCTATAAGGTTAGCCTGAATTCTTGAAACTGCAGATACAACATTAACTTTACCAGTATTAAAATTCATATTGCTCATGTGAACCAAGCTTAATGTGCAATCCAGAGGATCCTTATCAAACAAGACACATTTCAGAGGATGGTTTTTCTGAATCACTGACATTTTTATGCCCTAGTTACACTTCATGAGGTATTTAACTTTACTAATGTGAAAGTTTCTCCCCAGTTCTCCATGGGCATGAGGAAGGACTCATGGAAAGGAATCTAAATATTTAGCATGGTAAAGGGTTCCAAAGCCTTTCTGTACATCAAAGATTCAAAGGAGCAGTGAAGATACTTGTGAATACTTACTAATACAGATTCACTGAATACTGCTCTTACTGAGAAAAGGATAATATTCAAATCAAGTGAGTAAACTTGACAGGATTCTTACCTTTTATTAAAAGTAACCACTCACCTAACTGCTTCTACTATTCCTGTGGCAGATAATTTGCTCTTAAACAAAATTATCTTTTTATTTTTTATTCCTCTTGGAACATAAGACTCATTCTTGTAAAGCAATAGAGAATATATGTTAACCTTTTTGCCTACTGTCGTGGTTTAACCCCAGCCAACAACTAAGCATCACACAGCCACTTGCTCACTCCCCCCACAATGGGATGGGGGAGAGAATCGGAAGGGTAAAAGGGAGAAAACTCGTGGGTTGAGATCAAGACAGTTTAATAGGGAAAGCAAAAGCCACGCACACGAGCAAAGCAAAACAAGGAATTCATTCCCTACTTCCCATCGGCAGGCAGGTGTTCAGCCATCTCCAGGAAAGCAGGGCTCCATCACGCGTAACGGTTACTTGGGTAGACAAATGCCATCACTCCGAACATCCCCCCTTCCTTCTTCTTCCCCCAGCTTTATATGCTGAGCATGACGTCACTTGGTGTGTGGGGTGAGGAGCAGAAAAGGCCTTGACACTGTGTAAGCACTGCTCAGCAGTAACTAAAACATCCCTGTGTTATCACCACTGTTTTCATCACAAATCCAAAACATAACTCCATACTAGCTACTACGAAGAAAATCAACTCTACCCCAGCCAAAACCAGCACACCTACATATAACAGTGACTGCTAACAGTGTGTTCTAACTAATATTACCAAAAATCTACCACATAAATTTGCACATAACAAAGGATTATAAGCTTCAATACACCTAACTGCAGTGTTGTTATAAAACTCTTTCCTCTCATTACCCTTTACTTCTTTAGTTTCCAAGCAGCTATTTCAATCTAGCAACTGTAAGCTATTGTAATATTTTTTAGCATATGAAAATACTTAGATAATATTATTCATGCATAGAGTTCAGGTATTTGACATTGACTTCTGACATTTTTCAAAGATGGTAGGATTGTTTTGAAGAAGTCCAGACTTCTAGGATCTGCAGCTGATAGCCTACTAGAATGAGTGGTCTGAGATGTGAAACTCAATTTTGGCTCACTGCTATAGACTTAGAAGTCTTGGCTGAATCTGGAACCTCAGAACATGTGATTTGCAGGCTCCAATGTTTATCATATCCTAGGTTTATCCCAGGGAACCACATTGCCCTAAAAGTCCCTTGGTTTATTTATCTCCAGGTTCTAGACCCCCATCTGCTTCTCATTAAATGAAGTAGGCAACCATTACTCTTATTTAAATACCAAGATTGAATAATTATCTAAATTACATTCTCTAGTTCAAACAGGAATTAATTCAACAAAATTAAAACACTGTATTGTATAAAGGTCAGATTGGATGATTACAGTTATCTTTTCTGGCCTTACAATCTATTAATATTTTAGGAATATGAATTCTTACACATTCTGTATTAATAATTTTAGGTAGTGTCAGCAGCCAGCGCAGAACCCTAATATCTCCCACAGCCTTGTGTCTGCCTGCATTATCAGACTAGAGAAGGTGCCCTGCCACTTGCTTTCTCTCTTCTACTCTAGCAATCTCTCTACTTTAGCTGCATATCAGTACATAGTTGCGTGGTGAGTGCCCTGCATTATTCACCCGTGTTTCTGTGAGAATGCAGTTTTAAGTGCCGTGCTCTGTGCTGAACACAGCACTTTGAGCTGTGCAGTATTATCATGGGACCAACACACCTGTTGGAAGACATAGCATAGAAAACTCTGTGAATTCCCTACAAGGAGATCTGGATTCAGCCAAAGTGGCAGTGCCACCTGAAATGTTAAGAAGCTAAACTAAACCATTTGAAAATTGATCTCTACTTTGCTGTCTAAGCAATCAATAGTGACTTTATGGATGCTGGCTGTAGCCTTGAGTGTCCATTAAAAAATTGTTGGGTCTTTATCATATCAAAAGCTAGTCATATTATAGTTTACTTTGGTTTGTTTACTTCCTTAGAAGTCTCTTTTCAGTGATTCGACAAATGCTAACACGTGGCCTTAGACTTACAGATTTACTTGTGTATTTCCTCTTACTACATGTCACAAGTCTTTCTGGACAACTACTTTCTGGACAACAGTTAGATATTAACTAATGGAATTGCAGCTTCAGTTTTTATCTAAGAGGAGGTTGAAGAGAATGGAGCAAGAATAAGTTCAAATTTTAAATTTTAAATTTTAAATAAGCACTGTGACTAGGGAGGGGTAAAAAGATAACTGCTTTCCGTCTCCCATTTCTGCAGAATTTTTGCACTACCATTTTTGTAGCTGTATACCATTAACCAGCCTTTGTGTCTCAGGTACACCAATGTCTTTATAGCTCAGTTTTCCAGAAGGTTTATGGACGGATGGCTTGGACTATGCTAATAAAACATCCTCGTAAAATTCTAGTAAAACTTCCTAGCAAAATACCTTAACTTGGAGTTTGCCTTCCTGTATTCGCCCTTTCCATGACGCTGTAAATTTAAGGCTGTCCACTGAACAGCTCATTACTCTGCAAGGGAAACACATATACAGTAAATCTTAGAGACATGTAACAACAGGAAATGAAATACAAAAACAAAACCAATGTATTTTCAATGTGTACCATATCATACTAAGTCTTACTTTGAAGAAAAATACAATTTCAATTTCATCTAAAATAAAAAAAAAAATCAGCATTTAGGCAAGTAACTCACAGCTATTCTACTTCAGTGCAAGTAATAAAAATGAGATGACTAATGGCAGCAATTGAAATAATTTGTTGGATCTGTGTCCTGAAAATGAAATAACCGTCTTCACGCATAGGGAACAATGGCATATTAGCACACATAAATACGTAGATTATTTTTCCCTCACCTTGCAGTCTCCTGGCGTAAGGCATTGAGAAATGTGTCTGGATGAAATAGCTCTGAAAGGTCAAGGGTGTCTGACAGTAGTTTCTCTTTCTCTGCTTTTTCTACCCAATTCTAAAAGAGGAAAAAAAAAAGGAAAACAAAGAATCCTAAAATTATTGCCTGATTTTTCAACATTTCGAGTTAATGTGTATTTGTCAATTATTATGATTAATGAAAAATGTTTGTGTAAATATACTGTAACCTCAAAGATTAATATTAATTTCAATTATTTTAAACTGGTAAACAGAAAATTAACACCATTTAAAAGTATAAAGAAAACCAGCAGTTTATGTGTAATGTGACTCATCCATTCTATATAAACTTCTGTTTCATTCTTTGTACAGTGCAGCTCACTTTGTACAATGAAACTTCTATCAAGTTTCTAACATTCTGTTGAAACCCTATTTCACCTTTACTAACAGGAGAGTTTATGTTTTCCATCAAAATGGTTGTCATTACTGTCTTTGCTTTACTAAGTTCAGGCAAATAACTGCATTCCTTTCAAGTATGCTTTAAGATAATTCTTTTGTGTAAACTGCATATTAAATTCAAGAAACACTTGATTTTCAATCTTCAGTAGGTTTTTATAAGTACTTACCAATAATTTTTTATGAAAATATCTCTTAGTATTAGGTTGATGCTGCCATTTTTAGTGTATTAGTTTGAGACGTGAATTCACAGAATTTATGATAAGATAAAAACTGGCCTCTGTTATATTTGGTAATAAATGAAACTAATAGAGGTGGGGGGAATAACTGGCCTCAATTATCCTTACAGAACACATGCCCTAACCTACTTCTTTCACCCTGTCTTACATGCAGCTATGAAGCCTGTCACTAGGAGCAGCAAGCTTGGAATTTCCCATCAACACAATGCATTATGTACCAACATGAGAAAAGAGACACACATTGCACCTTGCAATCTTGATAAACCATGTCTTAAGTAACGACATCCGAGTTTGATCCTCAAAACACTAACAATCTCAGACTAAAGAATTTGTTACCTTCAGACGAGTTATTTAGGTACCTGAGTGGTTATGCAACAGTCCACACTCAAAATCCTGTTTTGAAACGTTTATACTGTACATCTTTGGTACAATTTCTTCAAACGGTATAGTCACAGTCCTGACTATGGTACTGTAGCATAAACATTAAGTTACTGTATAACCTACTCTATAGTAGTTACAAGCCATATGCTTCTGCACAGAAAGATTGTTTAATACTAAGCCAGAAAATAATCAGAGACTAAGATTCCACATGCTATTATCACTAAACAGAGAAAAACAAACCACGCTCCTTTCTAAACACCAGCTGCTAGAAGATTATGAAATTACTTTAGTCACTGAATAAAAAATCTTGGAAGCTACACTTTCATTACACAATGCACCTGCCAGGCATCCATATCTCATTTAAAAAGTGCTGTATTCTTTGAACTGCTGACAGACGAATAATTCCAAAGCAGCATCTTGGAAGTGACAAAATCATCCAAAATACAAGTAAATATCACTCAGTGAATTTTATTTTATTTTGTCAGTGCATCACAGACACATCTCCATAATGTTTTCACCATGTTCAAACATTTAATTGGTGATCTTTTTATCTGTCACACCACTTATTATGAGCCCTCAACCCAAATGATCATGAATCAGTTCAGAGATTTTTGCTTTCCATTTTCATTAGCTAAATGTACACAGTTAATGACTCGTCTGCATGATTCTTTTAATGACTTTATATAACAATCTCTTTTATCATATAGCAGTAACTCTGCATTCTGGTTAGGACAGATATTGTAAATTTTTTTGTGTAATAAAAGTAGACACAATCATTTCAGCTTGTATTTAATATAATCATTCTATTGCTGTCATCAAATAAACTTTTAATGTAACTGCTGAAGAGAAACACTGTCAGGAACATAGATGCTTATATTCCACCCAATTAAAAGACCAGTATGGGTGATATTAATTCTGAGCTCATATAATTAAGTAGCACTAGGAAATACACAATAAGAAAAACTTCCATTAGATCACAAAAGCAAAGTTTGTAATTGCTTGTACTGCTCTACATAAAGCTGAAGATGTAGCCCATTCACAGCTGTTTAATAAAACATTTAAGATTTAAATGCAATAAAAATGATAATAAAATGTATTTTACGACACAAGTGTAAAAAATATCCTCATGCTTATTCTCCTTTTCATCTTATATGACCACATGGCAGCATGTTAGTGAAGTGCTACAGTCTCAAAAGACAACAACACTCTATTAAATGGATCATTTGTCACTAGTACATCCACTGCCACTGCCATAACACTTGGAAGAGATCAGGTCTTCAAGGGAAGGAAGTTTAAGCTAAGCTGTAGAAAGACTGAAGTGATGTTTCTTGAAAAGGAAAATCCTGCAACAGATTAGCTATAATATCTTCATTTCCCTCTCCTATCCCAACTCCAACAAAAGCATACACTGACTTCATTTGTCAAAGTGATGCAAAGTTGTTTGACTTCTTATTGATCTTGGATGGCCATGTAACATTTCAGTCTGAAGGGCCTTCTTCCACCACCAACTCAGTAGAAAACTTTATCTTTCCTGCCAGGTAGGCCAAAATAATCCATGCATTTGTCACTTGCCAGCTGGATTACAGTGAGGAGACTACCATCAGCTCCAAGGTGCTGTAAAATCTAGCCTCTTGTCTCTTTGTGGCTCTGGCCAATACCCATGCTCTCCCAACTGCCCCCTCACTCCTACCTCCCATAATACGGTCTTTAACATGTTTGCTGCAATTCAGGATTTGTTTTTTTTTTTTCAAAACAGCTAATAGTCAAGTTCTAAACTCACTAAAAGCAGCTTTCAGTGTATGAATTAATGACACAGCTTTGGTTAAATATGGCAGCTATAACATCTGGGAAAAGGCATATGAAAGCTGAAATGGTGTATAACATTTTTTAAAATAAATGCACATTATATCAATAATTTTGATTATACCAATAATGTAGTCTACAAGTCCAAATAACCTAACCCCGCGAAGATTTATATTACAAAATAAAATAAAAAATCTGTCATACACTTTTCTTTGTAACTGTTTATTTCAATATTTCATTATTTCAATATTTCCTGAATTCTTCTTATTACAATGAAACTAGAAATTTAAGTGTGAACTGTCCATGATAGATTAATTTAGCATATGATGATTATAAATATAATGTCAAAACTTATCAGCAATACCCAAAATGCTTGCAAAGCAATTCCTAGCAGGATATTTCAATTAATGTGAGGTTCTGTTTGGTACAATAAAAGGATTTTTTTTTTTTTTATGAAAATAAATCTCTAAGTGCGGTCTCAGGTGGTTCAAATAATATTTTTTCATGTATCTTAACGTCCAAGAAGCATCTATTCCATTTCCAGAGAGAAGCCTTCCTTATCTTCTATAATCCCAAAGGAAACTGAGCACCTCGTATTAAACAGTGGAAGGAATAAAGAGGCTGCCAGATTTTCACATTATCATTTATACAACTTTAGGATCATAGAACTCCTCTACAATGAATCAAGTACTTTTCCTTCACCTGTTTTAATTCATTCCGAATGTATTCACTTCTACCCTGTTTTTCCTTTGGTGTGGTCCCGGAAGAGAACTTTTATCGAAAGAGAAAATCATATAAATCACTACAGAAGTGATTTCATTTCTGTGCCTAGATGGAAAATTGTATTCAGTGTTATATGAATATGCATAGCCAGAAACCATAGAGTACAATTCTGTTTCTCCACTAGTTTTAGAGGGACTCAAAGTTAGTTGGGATAAAAAATGCAGGACTTCAGATAAGTCTGAGAGCAAACAGTGGTGAGTAGCACTGCTAGGGGAGTAAGTATTCAGTTAACCAGAGATTAGATTAAGCAAAGGTCAATCAAGCAGTTATGCTAGAGTCCTATTTTCCTCACAGTGCAGTAGCTGTTCCATAGGTGTGCTCCTAAGTGTTGGCATTCAGTGGTAAACGCCAGCAGGAGTAATTGTGTTACATTTCAAATAAATTAAATAGAGGTATTTTTTCTGGCATTGAGCACAGAGGGGGTAACGCATAGCTTCTCAGGAGCAACTGGCATACAATAATTTGCTCCCTTGTGGTAATTTTTTTTGTATGTGAAATCCTTGAGCTATTATTCTTCAGCCAGTTAACCTTTATTAAATGAACATGTGAACACCACAGTATTCCAGGTATATGATAAGGTGTTGGCACATACTATCTTTCAAATGGTAAATCACACAAGAATTTAATCTGGAGTCTTATTTTTGTTTTAAAATAGTTTTTTTTTCATTTATTTTATTTTATTTTAGAGCATGCAGACCAAAACTGCTGCTTAGTGCTTTAAATAAAATACTATTATTTCTTTATTTCAGTTTGACATACCTCAGAAACCCCGTTTGTTCAGGAAGTCTGAATACTGACACAATAGCACAGTGTTAGAGCATAAAAATTCTGAGTCCATTAGCATCAACATGCTAGCTAACAATATGCCAGAAGCAGATGTGCAGTAAGGCATAGCTGAGGGAAGCATTAGCGAATGTGGTCTCCTTCTGGTTACTGTATTAATTTATTTTTATCAAAACAGGAATTTAACTTTCCATGAATTGCTGTTTCCTACATTTAATAAGGATACCAGAATTATGATGCTGCATAAGAACTGTAACATCGTACTGACAAATTCATGATTGATGTATGCCAAAAGTATCTACGTTCAGATATTTCCTATATGATCACTAAACACAGAATACAGTTAGACAATACTCTCATGCTTCATGCCTTCTAGTCTTTTCTTTCTCCGCAACTAAATACATCTGTTACTAGGTGCTAGATTGCATTTGCAGTTACGTAGAGTATAACTGGGTAAGGAAGTATAGGAGCTGGAACTATTCCTTGGTAGAACCAGAAACTACAAACCGTGCAGAGCAAAGGGGACAAACATTCAAAGAAACTTCAGTGTCCTCTCCTTCTGAAAGAGATGATGATCCTACTTCCCACCTCTACTGGTAAGAAGTTGCAAGGCAGGGAAAACAGTGGCACATAATATTCATTTGCAGATAACAGA